TCAGAAAATTTCAGCCTAGAATACAAAAACTGTTTATAAATTGCAGTATTTCAACATCTATTAATACTTTAAAATCATTTGAAAATATCATGACAAAGGAAAAGAGAACATAGTCTTAAAGATAGACACATTAAATAGATAGATAGAAAAGAACAGAAAGAAATAAGTACAGTAATAAGAGTTATAGAATAAGATCTCTGCAGTTTACATCTTAAGCTATATACATATTTTAACATTCTATATAACTGACTGCTGCCTCTGTTCTCTCAGGCCTGCTTCAGAGATTATCATTCTCTCTAAAGAGTCACTGCTCAGCTAGCTTCTGTAACTAGCTTACTCATAAGTGAGATTCTCACTAAGAATAATATCAGAGCTACTCAATTCTAGTTAAGTCTCTAATCTTTCAGCTGTCAATCTCAGTATTTCAGCCTATTAATTGACTGTCACAGTCTTACTTACACTAATCACCTATTAAGAATACCTAGATCTCATCTCATCTAGGTTCTTACTAGGCTCAGAGTGTTCTAATTGAATAGTTTTTAAATCTCATTCTCTAGAAGTGAGTGTCTAGAGTGAGAGAGATGAGATCTGATCAGTTAAGCTTGATAATGATTTACTATTCTGCAGACACTCTAGATCTCAATCACTCTAGTACTGATCTAACTTAAAGTATCTGAGAGACTGTTAACTCTAAAATCAGTGAGAATTAGTGTCTGAAAACCTCTGAGATAAACATCTTAAGCTTGATAATGATTCACTATAGTGCATTCAGAGGCCTCTGATACTGTTTTATAACTTAACAGTGAAAGCTGTGATTAAGATGACTCTTGCAGGGTTTGAACCTGCCTTCTCTTGACATTCATTCCCCGGGGGGAAGGCCGTTAATTGAGGCTTCATGATAGTGTAGTTAACCACTACATCACCGGGCTAATACTGTGATTCACTTCAGAATCTTGTAAGAGAGATATATTTATAATATTATCTTATCAGAAGACATTTAGATATTCATGATATTATTAAGAAAGTTTTATATAAGAATCTGTTATTATAATACAGAATAACTTTTCTAGAGTCTTTTTAATATTAGTCAGACTGATGAAATAGATTAATATATAATTCTGCTATCAGTGAACTTATCAGTGACTCTATCAGTGATTTTAATAATGACTTCTTTTTCAGAGTATTTCATATGTGTTGACAGAGATCTGTGTTAGATTCATAATCTTGTGAATATCATCTTCATGAACTCTATCATTGTTAGAAAATATTAAGCTTCTATTTCAAGTGTTTAATAAGATATCTTGTTCAGATAGTCAGATAAGTTCTAATATAAGATTATAATCAAGATTATCAACTTCATATGTATAGATATCTTTATACTGATATTCTTTCACATCTATAATCAGCTTTATTTTATAACAGATATAAATGTTCTTTGAATCATTAAATTCTGCAAGAAGTCAGAGTTTTAATAGAGAAATACACTGAAGATTATAACATCTCACAACTGAAGATTTTATTATTGTATAGTAATATAGATCACTGTCTACCATGACTTTCATATTATATATATTATCAATCATAGTAGATACAAGAATCATATTCATTATTATCTTCTCTTTAAATTATTGTTATCTGACCTCTTCAAGCTTCTGTTTATAAATTTAAATAGAAGCTAATCTTTTCCCTGTTTCACTGAAGTATTCTTGTAGTTATCTTCTGAATCTTTCTTCACTGCAATGTAATTGATGTGAACAGACACTGATCTTTCTCTTGAGTGTGAAGACATATAGATTAATTAGTAGTTGAAAGCAATGTGTTCTGATCAGTTACAGTTGATACACACTTCATATTAATATCAATCAGTGACTTCTTCAGAAGTGATCTCAGAAACTCAGAAGTCTGTTCAGACAGTAGAGACTCTTGCTTATATATAGACATTTGAGTCTACTCAATTCATGACATCTGCATTATTGTTATTTCTCAGTGCAGGTGTATGAGTTACTGAGATGTAATATCTTCTATCACTGTTCTGTATATTCTTGAGCTTGATAAGACAGTTATTCATTATTCAGAGCTGTGTGCAGAAGTCTTTATAAGTCTGATCTTTGTCTGCACTTATAAGAGTCTGTAAGAGTTTGAAAGTTAATATCTTCTTAAGCATGCTAATCTTTATTTAATTCTCTCAAGATTAGTCATCTGCTTCTAGAATCTTGATGTTAAAGTCAGAGATGAATATTATAAGAGAAGTGTTTCTCTGTCAGACACTCTGTAATCAATCTAATACTTTCTATTGTATAGCAGTGTCTTGAAACAGAATATCAAGATATTTGATGATATTGTCAGATATTCACAACACTGATTTACATGCTTTCATTCATAAATGAAACTTCTATTTCATGTAATTCTTCAATTATTCATTGATATATCAATCTTGATTAATTAATAAACTGATGAAATCTTTATCTATACTCAGTTTTATAAGCATTTTCATTCTTCATAATGAGTAGAGAGTGAGATCAGAAGTATTGAAATATACAGAAGTATCTAAGTATTCTTTCAGCACTTTTATATCTGATTCTGTAGATGTTGAAATTGCATGAGTTAATTATTAAATCTCTTTATATTGAAGTTATTGAGTTACATGTATATCAGCTATTTATTATTATTATAATTTCAACATTACTCAGAGTCACTATGTGTCACGCTCTCAGCAGCGCCAAGGCTCTGCTGCGGTTCCACACGGTTCATTGCTTTCATGCAGATAATTTCATCTCATTCAAACTGATTTTCAACCACTCTATGACATTATTCGGATATATCATAGAAAGATCTGATTGATGGATATGAGAACTCTGCTTCTATATAAGATCAGCAGATTACTCTTTCTTGATAATGAGATGCTGCTGAGGTATCACTCTGACTATTCTCACTCATGAAATGAGAGAAGAGTATTCACTCATTGTCTATATAGAATAGCTAGATACTGACTTCTCATCAAAGAAGCAGCAATTCATTTTTCTTCTACTAAAATATATATAAGAGTTACTGCATGTCTCATATAATCTTCTTAGTATACTAAGTATCACATCTGTGATATTCTTGTAATAACCCTGTAGTCTATGAGCTTGCTATTCAAGCAAGATAGTCAAGCTTACTCATACAGCTTCTTAAATAACTATCTCTATATAACACTGCTGACTAGTCATTACTTCAGTTCTGTTATATTACAATTTGAATTACTTTATCTGATTATAAGTTTGAATCAGTCAAGCTCTAACAGACTGATATAGTCTTATGCACTCACACTGAGACTGACTCAACCTCACTCTCTGAAGAAAACACTACATTATTTTCTAGAGTGTGTACATCTCTATCTCAGCAGAAATCCGAGATTTCTGAATCTGCTGCACATTTTAACATGAGCTCTTCAACTGCTCTATCACTGTCACAGCCTCTACACATCTACATCTATCATAGAGATAGAGAGATTAAGATCAGAGATTCTCTGAGATATAAGAGAAACATCTTATCTGAATTTCACAGCTTTATCTGTACTCTTGAATGAAAATTTCACCTTAATCTGAGTCAGTATAATACTCATGAGATATAAGTAATCTATGCTGTCAACCTTCTTGAAGACATCTCTGTGACTACTTAAGTCATCAAGAAGAGAGAGCTTGAGCATATTAATACTATTATAACTTGAGAAGAATTCAAGAACTTTCTACTGAATTAAATCAAAGATCACTGCAATCACAGCTTCACAGCAGTGTATTAATTCAACTTATTATATTAATAAGATAATGAGAATTCTTCTGATTTCAATATAAGATTTGAAGAATATTGAGAGAAATTGACTGATAATTTAGATTAATTAAAAACACAGTTTTATCTCATAAAGCTGACTTATAAGATGTGAATAATAATATTATAATATCAGAGTTTACTTATTAATTATACTGAGCTTGTCAACCTGACTTTCTGAATTTATTTGAATAATCAATTTTCTGAGAAAAAGACTAATAAAATCTCTTCTAAGTAATTAATAACAGAATCTAAACAGTGCTGTGACAGCTTCAGTGCAGAGAAAGTAAAGAAGAATTTCAAGTATTCTAATTCTTCACTCATTATAAAGAAATATTAAAAAAGATTTAATAAAGATCTCTGTTTCAACTGTGAAGCTGATAATCACTATATCAGTGATTATAAGAAGTTAAAGAAGAGAAGAAATTAAGAAGATATTTTCTCAAAATTAACTTCTCTTCTGACAAATATATTCATAGAAGATAAAGAAGAGAAAGAAATAAAGAATTGATAATTCTTATATCTCTAAGTTCATGTTATAATTGTGATTCAGAAGAACGTATGACCGTCGGATAATAACGCAGCCGCTTCCGAACTACTAGCGTATGAATGTAAAGGGGGGCCATAGCGGCCACTAATTAATTTAGTGTACAATATTATAATATATAAGAAGCCGGTGTACATCTGTAATTATACACTGACTTAAGCAACCTTTAAATCATATCTGATAGCATGTCTAAAAACCAGTGAGAAGTGCAGGCTTCTTCAGAGTGTGATAATTCTGTCTATAAAGTGATTTATAGTTATCATGCCAGTGTGATTCTAGAATATCTCAAAAGATAGTATATGAAGAGCAGTGAGTGAAAGAGCATCTGATTGATACTACTTCACTTGTTAAGGGAAAACTTCATACCCAGGTGAATGCCATGTATGCAAATAAATAAGATGTGAGAAAAGAGATGAGAGTGATGAATCAGATTCAAAGAAAACTGCTCTTCACTCAAAGAGATAAAAGAGAGAGATGATCATTATCAGAGTTGTATAATGATAACAGAAATCATATAATAATATAGTGATATAATGATACAGTGATATAATAATAGACATTATATAATTAATAAGAAATCACTGAAATGAATACCTTCTCTAGTTAATATGAATAACACCCTTCTCTGCTATCTGAACTGAAAGATATGCAGAACCTCTCAGAGAGTTTACTTAAAGCAGTAAGAAAAGCAGCTGAGACTGCTGAACTGGAATCAAAGCTCTGTACATGTACAAGGATTCTAAATGAGATTGAGGCCTTGTGTACACAGTGGCAGGCTGAGGTGAAAGCTAAACAACAATTGACATTCGCTGCGGATCAAGCATCCACTATGAAGAGCTTCGCCGACGCAATCGCCACCATCAATAAGAATAGAGAAAACCAGATCTTAGGCCTGCAGCGGGAGATCGAACATTTACACAGACAGGTGACTACACATGATGAGATCTATGTCAACTATGAAATGCCGCGCGAGATTCTAACTGATAACAGTGCAAACCTTGTAGAAGAAGCAGTGAGGCATTTTGTGAGCCAGTTACAGACAAGACATTGTAGAACAACATCATATCATTCACAGACAAACAGGAAGATGAAACACTTAAATGAAATCTTGAGCAATATGCTGATGAAATATCTAGTGAGCAAGCCTACAAGACTATGAAATGAATATCTCAGGCAGGTGCTACTGGCCACACAGATTTGACAGTATGCAGTCTTCAAGTATTCATCATTCTATCTGTTGTATGAATTGCATCCGCGCATTCTGAAGAATGCTTCAGAAAAGATGAGAGAGAGAACAGCAGTTGCAGATGCAACAGTCATGAACACAGCAGAAATAGCAGTTATGAACACAGTAGTAGCAGTTACAGACACAGCAGTTGCAGATGCAGAATCAAGATTGAAAGAGATCAGTCACACATGTGCAAAAGCTAATAAGTTACTTCTGAACTGAGCAATTCAATTGAAAAGAATATGAGACTCACTAGTTAAGAAATTGAATCTCAAGATGAGAATATGAGTTTTTATATACAATGAGAGTTCTGAGAAGTTTCAACCTAGATAAGTTAAGTTATATAAAATACTCAAATTACATTCTCTGAGAATGTATGTATTGAAAGAATCAGAGAAACAGATCTTATACAACTTAATCAATAATTCATGACTTATAAAAGCAAAGATGTAAGATCTGAGTAGATTATAATTATTCACAGCACTATCATCAGTATTGAAAAAGAAGAGACTTATAATTGAAAAGTCTCACAAAGTAAGAGAAATCATAGACACTTATAAATCAGATAATCTCACTTATTCTGATCTTTTCATGATTATAAGAAAAGAATGAGAAGAAATGAAGAAATCAGATGAATGCTACACTTCAATAAGTAATAAGACTCTAGCTGATTGTATGATAATATACTGCAGACAGTGAGTGTAATATAGTAAAGAATAATCTCAAAGCAGCAGACTTATATATGAGTCAGATTACAGAAGAAAAAGAAATTCAGAGTTGAATTTAACTGTTTATATCAGTTCAATTGCAGAGATTACAGAGAATGAACTATCTGAAATATTCACAGATATGTGAGACTAAGTCATCTTGACTTCTAAGAATACTCAGAGATCAGATGAGATTAGTTTCAATGAGCTGTTCACTGTAGTAATCTAAGCAGGTGAAGAGAGACAGTATAATGTATAAGACAGAATTATAAAAGATGAAAGCTGCTGAACCTAGTCACTGAATACTATATTATATAGAGATTGTGTAAGAGTAGTAACTAACAGATAAAGAGAAAAGTATAAGAAAAGAAAAGAAATAATGAATTAGTCATTAACTGTAAGAGTCAGCTGTAAAAGACAAATATTATCATATATACTTTATTCATTTTCATATATTATACATTTAATCTATTTTCAACATCACATCACTTGAAAAATGTCAAAAACAAAGAAAATCTTAAAACTCAAGATCTATAAGAGATTCAAGAGCTGCAAGCTGCTCTTACAATAATACTGTATATATCTCTGATTTCTCTACTGCTCTGTGTATAATATTAATGTCATTTATCACAAGATTGACTGAAATGTCAATATAGAAATGCACATGCATATGCATAGAGAAATTGAAGAAGAGTATGAGACTCACAGAATCAGAAGCCAGAGCAGAGAGAGTGAAAACAGAAGAAATAGAAGAAGAAGAAGATACAGAACTGAATAAATAATAATAGAAGTCATCTGAAACTGAATACTTATAACTTGATATATATACAACCTTTCTCACAGAGAAGAAAGAGAAAGTGATAGAAGAAGCTTAAAAGTGAGAGAAGATAGTCTCAGCAGTGTTATTATCTTCAATTAAAATAATCTCTGACACTGAAGTAACTAAGAACTATTGTTAGTGTATGAAACTGTAAAAGTAGGAATAATAACTACTGAATGAACACTCACTGATCTTAGAATTATACATGTAATTACAACAAATATGAGACTTCTCAGAGAGAGAGAGAGAAACACAGAGAAATGCAGAAAGCAGAACATAGCATGTAAATGACTCATTTCCATGATAATATCTCAGACAAGATGTATGAATCTCATGCTTATAAGTATAAAAGAGTACAACATCTGCATTCTTATTTCTGAAAACATGAATATCTTTCATCTGCATCATAAAGTCAGATGACAGATATCAGAGAATAGATTAATACAGATCTATTATTCTGAAGAAATTTATTAGAGTAGATATCTCTGCAATATTGAACTTTACAGTTATGAAAAGCTTCTTAATATCTATAAATGTCATGACTTTGTACACAGTAAAACTCATAACAATTTCTTCTAAGAACAGAAAAATCAGCATCAGAAAGAAAAGATGAAAAAGAAAAAGACTTACAATCTTAACACTGTTAAGAGAGAGAGTGATTCTCTGATATGAATAAATAATTATCTCATCATGAATATTTAAAATGAATATAATAATCAGTGTCTATGACTGAGCTTCAGATAGTTGTATCATACACAGTTTTTATATAATAAATTATTCTGAGAGTTGATAAGAAGGATGAAAGTGTACACACTGAGAGAGATGATTTATTAAGTCTATACAATATCTTCTTAAAATGAGAAGAGCTGATAATGAAAGCAGAGATGATAAAATCAGAAGTAGCAGAAGTAGAGATTATAAGAACAGAGATAGTGAGAGTGAAAGAATCAGACACAGAAATAAGTGTAGAAGATTAAGAGAGAGCAGCAGAGAAAGAAGTGACAGAAGAGGCAAGAGAGAATACAGAAGACCTGATTATATATAACACAGACAATTTCTTCATTATCACATTCTTTAAGTTCTCAATCAATGATTCAGTACTGAGTTCACTATTATTGATAAATACAGATCTGTCAACACATGAAGATTCTATATAAATAAAAACAATATATCAGCATCTGCATCTATGCAAAATTGTGTCAGAAAACACAATCAGAAACTCACTGAGAAGGAAATGATTGAGAGTATATAAGAAGATGAAGAAGATGTATCATTTATAATAGTACATTCTGACAATTATTAGAAGATAAACAAGTTCTGACTATATTTCACAACATATTACACTTACTGCTAATGAACTGCTCAGTATGAGCACTATGAGAATGCTTGTTATAAGAACAGGAAGTCATTACCAGAAATGCATATAATATGATAGATGAACAGATGAAAAGAATTGAATAGAAGAAGAAATAGAAATCTTAGATAAGATGATGACATTTAATGATGACAATGATGAAGATGATGATTGAAGAATGAGAAAGGTTAGTGAATAAGTGATGTAATATAGTGAAAGTTTCTTTGTAAGAGTGTACATGAGATGCTAGCTGAATCAGAGATAGGTCACATAATTGTGAAATGCTAGTGGCGAGCTAATCCGCATGAAGCTAGAGTGTATGACATGATTACATGAGCATGACTGAATCTGGTAAGAGAGAATGTGATTTGAAAGAATATACAACTGTCAGATAATAACGCGGCTGCTTCTGAACTACTAGTGTACAAATGTAAAGAGAGGTCATAGCGGCCACTAATTAATTTAGCGTATGATATTACAATATATAAGAAGCCGGCGTACGCCTGTAATCATACACTGACTTAAGCAACCTTTGAATTACATAATCACAATACATACTCTGAATGAGAAGATACTAGTAAGATATTTACTTGACTTCAGAGTGAATACTAACTTTATATTCTATTTCTTTTCTTTAATGAAGAGTTGAAAGAAGATAGACTTGTCAGATTATATAAAATTTACTGATGAAATGAAATATCACTGTTTTAACATAATTCAAGTGCAGTGTGTAATCACAGACTCAGAAGAAATCTTCAAGAAAAGCAGTCTACTTCTTCACATACTTAATATCATAGATGAGAATGTTATTCTAGATCTTCTATAATTAAGAGAAAATAATTCTCTCATTGACTGAGTCACTTAGATGTGACAGTATTATCTCACTAATGAAGAGATAGTGATAGAGAAATCTGAAGAGTTTTATCAGAAGAATCTTGAGAAAAAGATTGAGTCAATATACTATATAGTAGATGACTGAAACTTGAGAATAGATGAAGAAGTCATCACTCTCACTACAAGATTAATAGCAGTATTTATTATTGAAAATGAATGTATATAATATCTCTTTACAGATTTTAAGAATGTCTTTTCAGAAAGGAAAGCAGTGAAGTTTCCTGATATTAAGATATAATATAAGATTTACTTTGAAGACAGTGCAATGATATTATACAGGCTTCTCTATAACTTATCTGTAAAGAAATTGAATGTTCTGCATAAATATCTTGAAAAAGTGCAATCAAAGAACTGAATACATTCATCAAAGAGTTTAGTAGAGACATCTATACTCTTTATACTCAAGAAGAATAATAGACTACATCTATGCATAGACTACAGAGACCTCAATAAGATGACAGTTAAGAATTGCTATTTATTACTGTTAATTAATGAGATGATCAATCAATTATCTGAAGCAAAGATATTCTTAAAGATTGATATACAGAATATCTATCATAGAATCAGAGTTAATAAAGACAACATTTGAAAAACAGCTTTTCATATCAAGTACAGTAATTTTGAATATCTTGTTTTATCTTTTAATCTTTGTAATACTTCAGTCATCTTCCAGATCTATATAAATGAGATACTGCAGAGTCTTGTTAACATCTTCTGTATAGTATACTTAAACAACATTCTAATCTTCTCAAAAACAGAGAAAGAACACAATACTCATATTTAAGAAGTGTTAAGTCACTTAAGACAGTATCAACTCTATACAAACACTGAAAAATACTTGTTCTACATGCAGGAGATTGATTTCTTAGATTATATTATTAAGATGAATGACATTTCAATGAATAGAAGCTAAGTCTCTGTCATTGAGAACTGACTGACACTGCAGATGTATCATAAGATGCAGATGTTTCTAGAATTTGTAAATTTCTACAGATAATTCATCTATACATATTCACAGATTACTGCCCCTCTTACAGATCTGTTAAAGAGAAGTGTGAAAGACAGAAAAATGAAACTGTTTATTCTCATTCAAGACACTGTGCAGATGTTTACAGAATTGAAATAAGCTTTCACAGATATTATAATACTGAATCAC